GGGTCAGTAGCTATACATGAACTACCCCATTCTTTAATATGAAAAGGTTCTCACATGCTCAAAAAATAGTAAAGATGATTTTTAAAGATGTAACCAACTCATAAAAAGACAAAACCCCACTATAACCACAAAGAAAATATCTAAAGAATATACACAAAAGGAAATTCAAATGTGTTGCCACAAAAAAATCAACTAACCACAAAAGAAGGTTGCAATGAAGAAAATGAGGGACAAAAAGTTTGAAGACATTTAGAAAACAAACAATAAAAGGGCAGAAGTCCTTTCTTCTTAGTAATTACTATAAACGTAAATGTGTTAAACCCTCCATTCAAAAAGCAGAAATTGGTAGAATAGATAATAATAATAAAAAAAACCCCCAAAGATCCAACTATATATTGTTCTAAAAAAGACTCACTTTAGATCTAACGACATAAATTGGTTGAAAGTGAAAATTCAGAAAGATATTCCATGCAAATAGTTACCAAAAGACAGCTGGGGTGGCCATACAAATATCAACAAAAATAGACTTTAAATCAAAACTGTTGCAAGTGACAAAGAGGGACACTATATATTGGTAAAAGGGATTCATCAAAAAGATACAATTATAAAAAAATATAAACCAAAAATCAGAGTCCTAAAATATAAGAAGCAAACATTATCAGAATCAAGGCAGAATTGGATATTCTACAATGGCTGGAGATTTCACTATCTCACTTTCAATAATGGGTAGAACAACTATACAAATGATTAATAAGCAAATAAAAGAATAACACTATAAACTAGCTGGATCTAATAGATATATACAGAAAGTTCTACCCAACAACAGCAAAATACACAATTTTCTCAAGTGTATATGGAACTTTTTCCAGGATGGACCATATATTACACCACATACACACAAAAATCTTTTCCAATCACACTGAAATAAAATATCTTTTCCAATCACACTGAAATAAAATATCTTTTCCAATCACACTGAAATAAAACTAGAAATCAATAACAGAATGATTTCTGTTATCTTTTCCAATCACACTGAAATAAAATATCTTTTCCAATCACACTGAAATAAATATCTTTTCCAATCACACTGAAATAAAACTAGAAATCAATAACAGAATGAAAACTGGAAAATTCATAAATATGTGGAAATTAAACTACACACTCTTAACCCACCAACTGGTCAAAGAAGAAATCACAAGGGAAATTAGAGAATATCTTGAGATAAATGAAAATGAAAACAACACAGCAAAACTTGATGAGAAGCAGTGAAAGCAGTGCAAAGAAGGAAACTTATAGCTAAAAATGCCTATGTTAAAAAAAGGAGAAAGATCTCAAATCAGTAACTTAACCTTAAAGAATGAGAAAAAAAGGACAAACTAAACTTGGAGTTCTATGCCTTTGTCAGAAACACTGAAATTATAGAGAAGAGAGATAAATAGAGAATGGAAAAATTAGAGAAAAGAAAAAAAATCGTTCTTTGAAGAGCTCCATAAAATTGGCAAACTTTTAGTTACAATGACTAAGGAAAAAAGAGAAACATGAAAAGATTCAAATTACTAAAATCAGAAATTCAAGTGGAGACAGTTTAGATGTTACAGCTAAAAGGGATTAAAAGAGAATCCTAAAAACAATTCTACACCAACTAACTGCTAATCTAGACGAAATAGACAAATCCTAGAAACATACATTCTACCAAAACTGAATAAAACTAAATAGAAAATTCGAATAGATCTCTAACTAGCAAGGATATTGAATCAGTAAAATCAAACTCTCTCCCAAAAAAGAAAAGCCCTGGACTGGATGGCTTCACTGGGGAATTCTACCAAATGTTTACAGAACATCAATTCTCAAACTCTTCCAAAAAGTTGGAGAGAAAGGGTCACTTCTTTTTCTTTTTTTAAAAAGATTTTATTTATTTGATAGAGAGAGACACAGTGAGAGAGGGAACACAAGCAGGGGGAGTGGGAGAGGGAAAAGCAGGCTTCCCGTGGAGCCCGATGCGGGGCTCAATGCGGGGCTCGATCCCAGGACCCTGGGACCATGACCTGAGCCGAAGGCAAATGCTTAACAACTGAACCACCCAGGTGCCCCACTTCTTTTTCATTCTATGGACCAGCATAACCCTGATATCAAAACCAGAGAAAGATGCTACAAGAAAATAAAACTACAAATACCCCTTATGCATATTGATGCAAAAATCCTTAACAAAATACTAGCACTGAATTCAGCAACATATTAAAAGCATTATACACCAGGCGCCTGGGTGGCTCAGTTGGTTAAGCGACTGCCTTCGGCTCAGGTCATGATCCTGGAGTCCCGGGATCGAGTCCCACATCGGGCTCCCTGCTCAGCAGGGAGTCTGCTTCTCCCTCTGACCCTCTTCCCTCTTGTGCTATCTCTCATTCTCTCTCTCTCAAATAAATAAATAAAATCTTTAAAAAATAAAATAAAAAAATAAAAGCATTATACACCATGACCAAATGGGACTTATTCCTGGACCATAAAAATGGTTCTACATATAAAAATGATTGAGGGGCTCCTGGGTGGCTCAGTTGTTAAGCGTCTGCCTTCAGCTCAGGTCATGATCTTGGGGTCTTGGGATCAAGCCCTGCATCGGGCTCCCCGCACGGCAGGATGCCTGCTTCTCCCTCTCCCTCTCCTACTCCCCCTGCTTGTGTTCCCTCTCTTGCTATGTCTCTGTCAAATAAATAAAATCTTTAAAAAAAAAAATCAATGACTGTAATACAACACATTAACAGAATGAAGAGGAAAAAAATGACATAATCATCTCAATTGAATCAGAAAAAGCATTTGACAAAATTCAACATCCTTTAATGATGAAAACACTCAATATATAAACTAGGACCAGAAGAAAATTTCCTCAACATGATAAAGGCCATATATGAAAACCCTACTCAGCTAACACCTACTCAATGGTGAAAGGCTGAAAGCTTTGCTCCTAAGATCAGACAAAAGACAAGGGTGTCTCCTATAGCTTCTATTCAATATAGTACTAGAACTTCTAGCAAGAGCAATTAGGTGAGAAAAGGAAATAAAAAAATAGCATCCAATATTGGAAAATTACCTGTTTACAAACAACATGATCTTATATGTAGAAAACCCTAACAAGATTACACACACACACAGCTAATAAACTAATTCAGCAAGCCGCAGGATACAAACACAGAATACAACATCAGGTACATTTCTACACACTAACAATGCATACTTGTAGAGTTGTATACTAAAGAGTACAGAACACTCTTGAAAAAAATTAAAGACAACAAATAAATGGGAAGACATTCTGGGTTCATGGGCTGGAAGACTTAAGACTGATTAAGATGACACTACTACTCAAAAGCAATCCACAGATTCATTATGATTCCTATAAAAACCCCAAAAGCGTTTTTAGCAGTGTCTTCTGTAAGAGAAGAAAAGGGCTTCTTGGAAATATGGCTGGTTTTACGGCTGGGCCAGGGAAAACAGTTGAGCCCGGGCCATCTTGTGGTGACAGAAAATAAGAAAGTGATTAAAAAAAAAAAAAAAGGGAAGGATACATCAAAAGTTAAAAGAGACAACTTGAAGAGGCTCCCAGTGGCCAAAGCTGGGACTCTGAGTAACAAAATAATGTTAGTATTGTAATAATTATGTTATATATAATTATATAATAATGGCATAAAATAAAAATCCATAAACTCATACTGAAATAAATCACTGAATAGATAAATGAGGGGAAAAATAACTCTTCCTCACAGAATTACATCTAATAAGTGTAGAAGGAATAATGGAAACAGAAAACTACCATTAGGTAAACACTACAATAATAATTATTACAGGGCACCCGGTGGCTCAGTCGTTAAGCGTCTGCCTTCGGCTCGGGTCATGGTCCCAGGCTTCTGGGATCGAGCCCCGCATCTGGCTCCCTGCTCCGTGGGAAGCCTGCTTCTCCCTCTCCACTCCCCCTGCTGTGTTTCCTCTCTCGCTATGTCTCTCTCTGTCAAATAAATAAATAAAATCTTTAAAAAAATAATAATTATTACAGGCAGAAACCATTAACAGATGCTAAAATTAGTGAGCAAAGTGATATTTGCATAGTCTCAAGGAGAATTATTAACTAGAAATGAAAATATCAGTAACTTTATAGTGGAGAAACCTGACAGAGAGCACCTTAAGGAAGTGAGCAAAGTTAACATGAGACAGATCCACATGATGTACCCCTACCTCACTGGTATGATGCACTGAGAAACATGTAACGTCATTTCTGTGACACTGACAGAAATGCATAACCTCAAAAGAATCCATGAGAAAACATCAGACAAACTCAAATTGACATTCTACTAAATAAATGGCCATTGCTCTTCAAATATATTAAGGTCATTAAAGACTAAGGAACTGTCACAGATTGAGGATACTAAAGGACAGATGTCAATTAAGCGCAACATGGGATCCAGCATCAGAAAAGGACATTAATGGGAAAACTAGTGACATGTGGATAAGGTCTATATATAATGGTCAATAATACTGTATCAGTGTTAATTTTCAGTTTTACCACATTATTAGGGGAATCTGAGTGAAGGACATATGAAAACTCTGCGCTATTTTTACAACTTTAGATAAGCTTAAAATTATTTAAAAATAAAAAATTAGAAAAAAGAAAACACAACCTATCTAAATTTTGATGAGCATGGTTTGGTAGATTCATAATTATATACCAAGCTGAATTAATACTACTGATAATTATTTTTAATTTTGAAAATCTTGAGTCTCCACTTTCTGTGTTCCCTATCACGTTACACTTTTATAATAACGCAGTGTTGCAATTTATGTAGTAACATGGGTTTTCACCCAGGACAGTTAATTCCTTCAGAATAGGGACTAAGACTTAGTTATTTCTGCATTCTCTTTGACTTGCAGTCTTTGTCAAAAGGAAATGCTCAATAATTGAATTCTGAATGAATGAAAATTATGTAAAAGATCTCAATGCTATAGGATTTACTTACGCTCCACAAAGGAAGTAAAGAGCATTCTGAATCTGCTTAGCCGACTACCTTCATCTGCCCACATTCGGATCACTCCAACTCCTGTTTTCAGCATCACATCATTGGCCACAGTGCTGCAAAACTTGGCCTTCAGATTTTCAATAGAACTGCTTCCATCATAAACTGCAACGAAGTTTCTCTTGCATTCATTTGAGTGCTCCATTTGATAATCTAGGAACCTCAAATAAATCTGTAACATTAAAACAAAGAAAAACACTGCTTTTGAAAAGATAAATTTTAGTGTTATAGTTCTATCCATTTGACATGGTCGACTAAATTATGACAGCTGACAGGAACACAACAGCTAAAAGGCTGGTGCTTAAGGAATTAAAAGAACCAAGAGTGACGTCTCCTCCTTTGGTTGTCTTAATGGAACCAAGCATTAAGGAACCTAAGTTTGTGTTTTGTCTATAAAGAAACTTTTTGCTCCATGAGGTTCACTGGCTCTCTTACATAGTCTTCTTATTATGAAAGCAACCTCATAGTACTGACAAATTGGAAAATGAAAGAATCATTCATAGCAGTTGTTGGATTTTTTTCAGTTTTTCTTCATTTTAAAAACCTAAGCTTAACTGTAAGATACATAAATCCTGTAACACATCAAAACCATTTTTATTTTTTTTACAAGATATTTTATTTTTAAAGGTTTTATTTATTTGACAGAGATACAGCGAGAGGGAACACAAGCAGCGGGAGCGGGGGAGGGAGAAGCAGGCTTCCTGCGGGGCGGGGAGCCCGATGCGGGGCTCGATCCCAGGACCCTGGGACCATGACCCGAGCTGAAGGCAAACTCCTAATGACTGCTACCCAGGCACCCCAAAACCATTTTTATCTTATCTATGCTTTTCAAAACCATAAATGTTCCCATGATGTCCTGTCATTTATTTACCCCCTATTCTATACTGCACATTTAAGTGGCTTTAAGACTTCCCCCCATAAATAACCATTTCTACGTTTTCAGTCAGGAAGATATAAACTGCAGTATCAAAATAAGCACTATTGGGGGCGCCTGGGTGGCTCAGTTGGTTAAGCAACTGCCTTCGGCTCAGGTCATGATCCTGGAGTCCCTGGATCGAGTCCTGCATCGGGCTCCCCGCTCAGCGGGGAGTCTGCTTCTCCCTCTGACCCTCCTCCCTCTCATGCTCTCTCTCATTCTCTCTCTCAAATAAATAAAATCTTAAAAAAAAAAAAAGCACTATTGGTATCTATTTTATTTAGCATCCTCTTTCTTGAAATTTTGTAGGCAGCCCGCTACCTGGCACTAAGTTCTTAAAATATGCTTGGCCTACTTTTGTCTGAAGAATTCCTTTAGATTGTAGGCTTAGAAAGACTGGGGGCATTAATGTTCAGGTTGTGGGCTTAGAAAGACTTTGTGCAGGGCGCCTGGGTGGCTCAGCTGTTAGGCATCTGTCTTAGGCTCAGGTCATGATCCCAGGGTCCTGGGATCGAGCCCCGAGTCGGGCTCCCTGCTCCGCAGGAAGCCTGCTTCTCCCTCTCCCACTCCCCCTGCTTGTGTTCCCTCTCTTGCTGTCTGTCAAAATGAATAAATAAAATCATAAAAAAAAGGAAGACACTGTGCATCTCTCTAAAAGAACTTAATGAAGTAGCTATTATTCCTTACAGGCAGGGAGAAAATTAAAGCTCAGGTGGTTAAGAACTTGTCCAAGGTTACTCAGGTTGAGGATGTGACCTAGGTTGGCCTGACTCTAACATTTGTGTTCTTTCCACTCCCTGGGATCCCTTTTCTGCACGCATGCACAGACAGCTCACTTTTTGCTCTAGTTGCTGCTGAGTGACTCTACAGTTAGAATTTTAGTGAGTAGAGAATAACGATTTCCTTTGTCATTAAAGACATAGGAGTATTCATTCTAGTTTCTATTTCTGAGGTAGCAATGTGATGCCACCTCCATCTCTCTCTTTAAAGATTTCATTTTATTTTTTATAATCTCAACCATTTTAATTTTTATTTAAAAATTATTAAATTGTATTAAGTTTTTTATTTTAATTCCGGTATATTAACATACAGTGCTATATTAGTTCCAGGTGTGCTATATAGTGACTCAATAATTCTACACATTAATTACTGTGCTCATAAGTATACTCTTTAATCCCACCACCTGTTTCAACCACCCCCGCCCCGCCACCTCCCAATCTTAACCATCTTTAAATGTACAGGTCAATAGTGTTACACTGTTGTATATTCAGTCTCCAGAACTTTTTTATCTTGTACAGAAACTATACCCATGAAACAATAATTCCCCATTTTCCCCTCTCCCAACTCTGGCAACCACTATTCTACTCTCTATGAATTTGACTACTCTAGATATTTTTAAGTAATCTCTATACCTAACATGGGCTTGAACTCACAACCCCAAGATCAAGAATCACATGGCTCTACTGACTGAGCCAGCCAGGCACCCCCACCTTTTAATTTAAAAGACTTCATATAACAAAAATGTAATGTCAGGTATCTTTTCCCACTAAAATACCTTGATGGCATAAAATTAAGAGCAAACAACTAAAAAACATACCTCAAAGGGATAAATTTTGACCAAGTAACTTTGGGTTATTTGAGATGATCAATTTGTTACTTACTTCCATGAGAGTGGTAGAAAATCGGTAATTAAATAGGATTATCATTTCAAAACTTCACAAAATCTTCACAAATGTATTACACAGAAACAGTAAGTTTCCTTACATATATCATTAGTTCTCATTAATTTCTCCATCATTTACATAACCAAAACATTCTGCCCGTGGTTTTGTGGTAGTGAGCAAGTATCACCAATACTGTAATTGTCTGTTTCTCTATTATACTGTGGGGCCTTCCAATGAGAGAATCATGTGCTAATTATATCTAGTGTAATTTTTGCTCATAGCAAGTAATGAATATATGACTAGGCTTATAAAACCATGAACTCGGTAGATCTAAATAGAAGAAAAACAAGAAGTCTGAAATATTTACTCTTTTTTAATCCAAAGAAACATGGTACTATCCAAGGCCATAGTAAATGGTCTTTAAAGATGTTGAAGTCAAAAGTTTTAAGTCATATGACAATGACATTCTTTTCTCTTGTGAATGCAGTTAAATATTGAAATAGTTTAGTTCAACTAATTTTCAGAAATTATTTCTAACAAGGGGCACCTGGATAGCTCTGTTGGTTAAGCATCTGACTTTGGCTCAGGTCATGATCTCAGGGTCCTAGGACCAGCTCTGCACCTGCAAGTCCAGCTCCCTGCTCAGGGGGAGTCTGCTTCTCACTCTCCCTCTGCCCCTTCCCCTGCTGGTGCTCTCTCTCAAATAAATAAATCTTAAATATTTCTAAAAACAAAACTGACAAATTGAAATGGGCGGGGGGAGCTACAAACTACTCTTCTTTCACCCAAACTGCATGACAACAGATCTGCTGAAGGCTCCTGGTCTCTTACTCCACTCCTACACCTTTCCCAGGAGGTGGAGTGAGTTACCTTGATGGTGGGGAGTCTGGTCTCTTTTCCCCCTCTTTCCCTGGACTGGTGAGTAGGAAGCAGTGACCTGAATAAGTGGGTTTCCTCTGCAGATGCAAACTTTCCTTGGGCTGGACTGGTCCAGGCTAGACTTAGTTGGGAGGTAGAAGTGGTGGGTAGGGAATTAGCAAGTCTAATACAACTGTCTCAGTAAGCTGCTTCCTCTAGCCTTTTTTGTAATAAAGGAGCAGTAAAGTGGGTCAAATGCATTTTTTGGTTTCCCAATGCATATAAAAGTTAGCTTGTCCTGTAGTTTGTTGCATTGTCTATAAAATATACATTCCTTAATTTAAATATCCTTATTGCTAAAAAAAAAAAAATGCTAACCAGCATCTAAGCTTTCAGCAAATCATCTTTCTACCGGTGAAGGGTCCTGCCTCGATGTGGATGGCTGCTGACTGATCAGGGTAGTGGCTCCTGAAGGCTGGGTTCACTGTGACAATTTCTTCAAATAAGACAATGAAGTTTGCTGCATCGATTGTCTCTTCTTTCACAAATAATTTCTTGCTGCATGTGATGCTGCTGGTAGCATTTACCCACATAACTTTTATTGTTTAATTTAAATTCAATTAACATGTATTATTGGTTTCAGAGGTACAGATCTGTGATTCATCAGTCTTAAATAACACCCAGTGTTCATTACATCACATGCCCTCCTTAATGTCCATCACCCAGTTACCCCATCTCCTTATTCCCCTCCCATCAGCCACCCTCAGTTTGTTTCCTAAGAGTCTCTTAAGGTTTGTCTCCCTGATTTCGTCTTATTTTTTTTCTTCTCCTATGAACTTAGGCCTTGTTTTTAAATTCCAAACATCAGTGAGATATAATTTTCTTTCTCTGACTTATTTCGCTTAGCATAACACCCTTCAGTTCCATCCATGTTGTTGCAAATGGCAAGATTTCATTTTTTGATGGCTGCATAATATTCCATTGTGTGTGTGAGAGAAAAAAATGGAGTCAATCCTCTTAAACCCTGCTTCTGCTTTATCAACTAAGTTCATGTGATAGACTGAATCCTCTGTTGTCATTCCAACAATCTTCACATCATCTTCACCAGGAGTACCTTCCATCTGAAGAAACCACTTCTTTGGCTCATCAAAAGGAGCAACTCTCACATGATGTAATGAACACTGGGCATTATAGAAGACTGATGAATCACTGACCTCTACCTCTGATAATAATATGTTAATTGAATTTAAATTAAAAAATAAATTCATCCTAACCCTAAATAAAAAAAATAGGAGCAAATCCTCATCAGTTCAAGTTTGATCATGAGATTGCAGTGATTCAGTCACATCTCCAGGTTCTACTTCTAATTCTAGTTCTCTTGCTATTTCCACATCTGCAGATACTTCCTCCACTGAAGTCTTGAATCTTTAACTTGTAACACATGCAGTATTTGTGAAGCACAATAAAAGGAGGTATGCCTATATAGCATTCTAGATCAAAAGGAGACACATGATAACTGGAACTGCAAAGGGCTCCTGACATTAGATCCCTGTCTTATGGTGGACATAAAATCAATTTTTTTTGATTTTTTAAAGATTTTATTTATTTGACAGAGAGAGACATAGCAAGAGAGGGAACACAAGCAGGGGGAGTAGGAGAGGGAGAAGCAGGCTTCCCCGCGGAGCAGGGAGCCCGATGTGGGGCTCGATCCCAGAACCCTGGGATCATGACCTG